AGTTCTCAGTGTATTTTGTATATCAAGGATTGTTAGCTTCAGCAGGCCCTCAAATAAGATCGAGTAAACTGGTGTGGATTACTTATTTGCCTCCAAAAGTTCAATTTTTTACTTGGCTAGCTTGGAGAGGTCGAATTAAGACAACAGTATTCCTCAAAAGAATTGGTGTCCTTCCAAGCAATGTTTCAACATTGTGTGTTTTTTGCCAGTCTGAAAATGAATCTGTGAACCATGTCCTAGTTTCTTGCCCCTTTACTTGAATGGTGTGGTCGGCAATGTTGCATTGGTGGGATCTTGAAGGGGCTTTACCTGATTTTTTTGAAGGTATTCTCTTATGGTAGTAAGGCCAATGCTTTAGGAGGTTGGAGAGGCAGATCTAGAGAGGTGTTCCTTTGGTTGTGTTGTGGTCTATCTGTAAGCACATGAATGATTTTGTGTTCAATGCATCTGTTCCTAATTTGGTGGAGCTGTGTGAAGTGATAAAGGTGAGGATTGCATTATGGATGAAACCTAGTTATTCTAAGTATTTATTTTCAGTGCAGGACTTACTATTTAATCTTAGGCAAGTGAGATATTGCCTTTGAGGGAGAAGTGTGTAACACTCTTAGTTTTTTGTGTTTTGTTCCTTGTATTGCCTGTATTTTTTCTTTCTTGTGGTTGGGTTCTCTCCAACTTTGGGTGGTGCTAGCATATGATTGGGCTACTTAGCTGGTGCCAACCTAGTTAGGATTGACTAGTTTAGCTTTGATACTTTTTGCACCATCGGTCTTTGTTGATGTTCCTCCCTATAATTGTGTTGTTTGATTTACACCAATAAAGGTTTTTTGGCTATTTCAAAAAAATATATTTATATTATACAGAGAGGGCTAGAGTTACTGATTTATCATAATTTTTGCAATTTACAAAACTATAATGCTATGTTTGGTTGGGGTTTTTGGGGTGGGATTTGGAAAAGGAATGAGAAATGTAATCCTATTTATGTTTGGTTATAATAAAAAATATATGAGAAAAGAAAGGGGTGAGAAATAAATAAAGAAATAGGAGACCTTTTAGGACATCAATTCTATTTTATAACCAACACAACCAAACATAGTTGGGATTTGGAATTCTATTAATTCTTTCTCCTTTTCCTTTCATTTCCATTTCCCTTTCCATTTCCCTTCCCAAATCCCCCAACCAAACACAGCGTAAGCGGCTATGATATTCACAATTTTTTACTTACCTCAGCTAGTTTCCATTATGTTAGTCAATCATTTAAAGTACATAAACAGGTACCCTGCTCATTATTTTTCAAACCACCAAATATTAGAAATAAGGATATTATATAATAAATCAAATACCTTAAAAGGAAATGTTAGTACCGAAGCACCATTTATTACTTTGTGAGAAATTCATTGAACATCATATAATAAAAAGTGACATGTAAAAAAGAAGAAATAATAATAAGGAATTTTAATTTTTTTTTTTTTTTGTTTTACTTTTGAACTTTTTAGTTTTTTGATTAAGGCAAAATACCTTGTCAATGGTAATCAGGGAAAAAGATTAATAAAAGTTGACTAATATTATAAATATTAATAATTAAAATTATAAATTTTTTTTAATTGTTTTTTGACTTTATATAAAAATACGTGTAACAAAAGTAAGGCTCCGTTTGGCAAGTTGGGTTGGGGTTTTTTTGGCTATTTTAGTCACAAAAGACAAAATAGGCTATTTTAGCCACAAAAAACAAAACATCACATCCAACCCATAATCATTACACTCTCCTCTCATAAAAAAAGTCAAAAAAGTCAAAAAGCCAAAAAGCACTTCCCAAACCAAGCTTTTTAGCCCAAGCTAAAATAGCCAAAAAAGTCAAAAAGTTAAAAAGCCAACCCACTTCCCAAACCAAGCCTTAACAACTTAAAGTGGTTTTTTAACTTAAAAGTATTGTTCTCAAACAAAGCTTTAATTTAATATGTTGACAAAAAATATATTTTTAACTAAAAATAAAATTTTTTAATATAAGAAGTTAATACAATACAAATAAAAAATGACATGATGCGATAAGACAAAATAATAAATGAATTAAGTGATGCTATTAACCAAAAATGCGAGATTCACACCTTAGAAGTTTGAACATTTGAGCTTTTTACATCTCATCAAAACTTGTCTTTATTCACCTATCTAGAACACCATATCTTTAAAAAATAATAATAATAATTTAATGTAATTTATCCTTTTTAATAAATTAGTAGAGTAGCACATGTGTTGCACGGCGTAATTTTTTTATTTTTTTTTAGTTGTTAGTTTTTATAATAGTTTTTAGCTTTTTGTGTTTCATTTTTTTATAATAATTGCATTGGCCAGACCGCATGAGTGGATATTAAATGTCTCATAAAAGAATAAAAATTAACATAAACATTTCACATATTATTCTATATTTTTATATTAATATTTAAGTATTAAAATTTTGAAAGTAGATCAAAACCAATCACATCAAATAATTGTAATCCATATCACATTATTGGACTTATTACTATTAAACATATAATTCATCATATTGTTTCACTTTTGTTATATGTATACATGTAGAAATCACTTGATAATTAAGATGTGAGGAAATAAAACATCCAACTAACATATTAATATTATTATTAAAAATAAAGAAATAAAACATCCAACTAATATTGTAATATTAATATTGATATTATTATTATTATTTTGAAATAAAATAAGTAAAGGAAGTTGAAAACTAAAGTATTTTTATGAAATTCATTTGTTCTTTAGTTTGATCCTCTTTAGAGTTGAACTATGAGAATTTGTAATATTGCTATTTTTCATTCCATGTTGATCTTTCTCATTTTGTACTTCTTCTACTACAATCTTCGTAAATGTGCGATCCTTGTCATTTATCTTGTCTAGCATTGTGAAAAATATGTATATATGTTCAAAAGCAAGTTTTAGTGCCTCAAAATGGGTAATACTGATTGTAGAATCTATTTTAGATTGTGAAACAAAATTGTTTTGAACCTTCTAAAGCAGAGTCGATTGTTAGGGTAAATTATATTTTGTACCCTTGTACTTTGCACTAAATTTCACTTTGGCCCTTACACATGAAATCATGATAGTCAACCTACTACACTTCTGGTCAAATCCTAATTTGGTCCCTACACATGAAATCATGACAATCAACCCCTTACATTTTTACTCAAATCCCACTTTAATCCCTATACAAGTGTTAATGTCCCTCTTTTGTTACTTTATTTTTAAATCTTTAAACAAAAAATGTGATTATGAAATGAGGGTAAGAGAGAAAAATCATCCATGTTTCCCACCAATACACTTTGTTTTACATGATAAGTACATGAGAGTTATATAATACAATATATATATATATGTTTGTCTGGTAAAAATTGGGATGAAAGGCAAAAAAGTAGAGTTTTTGAAATAAAATAAAAAATACGATAAAGAAATCAAAGAGAAAGAAAGATAAATAGACAAAAAACTATGTTACCGTGAAAACGGAGTTCGTGATTCCAATTTATGCAAAACCCTAATTCATCTTCTTAATTGTTCAAAATTTGGGTATTGTTTTAGCCTAATATAGCCATATTTTGATATAAATTTTGGGATAAAGTGTGTATTGGTGAAACATGTAGATGATTTTCCTTTCTTACCCCCATGTCGTAGTGACATTTTTATCATATGACTAGATTCTGTTAAAGATTTAAACAATTGAGTAACAGAAATGGGACATTGACACTTATGTAAGGATCAAAGTGAGATTTTACTAAGCGGTTAACTATCACAATTTCATATGTAGGAACTAAAATGAGATTTGACCATAAGTGCAGGGGATTGACTGTTATGATTTCATGCGTAAGGGCCAAAGTAAGATTTGGTGTAAAGTGCAGGGATGCAAAGTATACGTTACCCGGATTATTATTTGTGAAAGTGTTGCAGTGGATAGTGAATGGCAATTGTTCCGAACCCTAAGAAACAAAATCTATAATTAATTCACAAAACCCAATTGAAAAAACAACCCAAGGGCTATCAGTTTACCAGTAAGATCACTTTGAATCATCACCACTCATTCAAAATATATCAATTGCAAAAATATTTATTTTCTTTATATACTTTTATGATTTTTCTTGATTTGAATCTCATAAAATTTCTCACTCACTATTCATGAGAAGATAATGGGAAAGACAAATATTGAACTAGTCACAATAGTGAAATTATTAAAAAAAAAAAAAATCATATTATGATATTTGACGGTGTTGATGTTTGAATACTTACCGTTCATGAGAAGGTAGTGGAAGAGACAAATATTGAACAAGCCACAATAGTAAAATTTTTTAAAAAAATAATCATATTATAATGTTTGAAAATATTTGATATTTGAAGGTATTTGAATTTTAGAAGGCGTTTGGTTGTCCAGTAGATGTAAGTTGATATTTGATATTTAATAAGTTTGGGAGAATATTTTTGAGATACGTCAAAAGTAAGAAAAAACATAGCAATTCTTTACACTTTTATAATAGCAGTAGATGAGCGCTTCGGCAGCAAATAGCAACATGGGAAAATCACTCTGCACCTGGTCTTACTTGGAGAAATGATTGTACTCTTCGAGCTGAAAAAGGGTGGATGCTTGCACCCCCTGCCTTCCCAATTCTCTCGAAGTCAATCTCTTGCTAGTTCTTCATTTTCTTTCTGGTGGAACAAATGAAAAGGCGGGGTTCGGGTCCATGCAATTATATATTAGGCTAAATAAAGTAAAAATCTATGAATCATGATTTAACACAAATCACGATTCACTATTTTAGCAAAATTCACGATTCAATTTGTGATTTGACAATAATAATGCCAACCCCTTTTCCGTACAATTGAAATCACAATATGACTTTCAATTTTGTTCTGAGTGATGACCATGTTTGTTCTTGTTCCTCTGTTAATTTTAATGTGATTCCTGGCATCGAAATCACGTTAGACAATACTCAACTTCTGCTGATTTTCTTAGAAAATCTAAAATGCATTGTGGCTTCTTAATGATTCATGCACAATGTACTTGTCAATTAACACCTCTTGATGAAATATTCATCTCAATCACAAGTACTTTCTATTAGTAACTGTCTTTTATTCACATCATTTCAACATGGAAGGAAGCAGACAATTCCATCCAAGATACTTCGTTGAACGTAGAAACGCTGGTTATAAAATAGAATTCGTATTTTCACTTTAATTTGTATGAAATTTTAAATAGAACGTGCACTGACTCCGGGATTATAGAGGAAAATTGTTCTTCCATCTAGTTGTTGAATTGGCCTTGCATTTGCCTCAAATCCCTGAAAAGGTGCAAACCAACATAAATGTCAAAATCTAAACAAGGAAATATGTTTTATTTATAAAAATGTTGTGTGCAACAATTTGTTCAATATAGGAAGAAGTTAGACATGAAGTAAAATTTGAATAAAGAATTTTACAAATTAATGCTTTATGTTCTCCTAGATAAACTGTCATTATCATTACTGTTAGAAGTTAAAAATCAACGGAAAATCATTTATCCCCCCCCCCCCCAAAAAAAAAAAAAAAAAAAAAAAAAAAAAAAAAAAAAAAAAAAAAAAAAAAAAACTGGAAATCAATCAGATACACAAATCACATCAATAAGAACACTCCAATCCACCATGACGCTTATGAGTTATGATTGGTCACTGCATATTGCAATTTAAGATAGCCGTACGATTAGATAAGATTTGAAGGATTATTTTTCCCATTGGATGGGTGAGCGAAGACAATCCGCAGGGGGGACTAATTGTCCTGGGGGATTGGTAGCAAGCCAACCAAACAAATAGTGGGGGATTGGTCTATGTGCCCCCACACGCCCCCTAAACGCTCCGAATTAACAAACATTGTCTTAAAGTTTTTCTTGAGTTCTTAGATTCCGAGAGTGATCCAAATTCATAATAGAAGTTTAGCTAAAGCACTTATTTGTTAGTAGAGCTTCCAAGCAGACCTGGTTTGTGTGGATAAACTAATCAAAATACCTCAACTCGGAAAAATAACTTACGTCATGAACAGCATCCCTTAATGCTTGAACTTGATCCCTTGAAACTGTTCTCACCTGCATAACCAAAATGGTACATTAGGCTGTGAAGATCATGAATTTTTTTTTAATATTTTTTAATTTTAATTTTTATTTTTATTCACAACGAAAGAAAAGGTTAAAGACTCGAACCTTCTTGACTATTGTCCAAATAACACCCTCTGTGCATGGAGGAACTGTAAGAGAACCAATATATCTGTAGTATTTTCTGCTCCCAAACTTTATATCACCCGGATTAACAATTCCCAAGTATCTCTCTTTATCAGTGGACTTAATATGGTTTATCAACTGCTAGAAAAAAAAAATTTGAAAACAGGTCTTAAAAACAATTGTATCAGCTATAATCTCAAACCAATTTACAGTTAATTCAAACAATTTTCTCCAAGGTAGCATTTGATAAAATTCCCTTTTCTTATTTAAATATATATTAGTCATTTTTTAAGAAAAAATAAAATGAATTCCTCGTATATTATGTAACATAATATGGCATGCATAAATGAGACCATAAGGATCTAGGGAAACAAGAAACCATGTCATTACCTTTGCAAGAAACGGATCCGGCTGACCATATTTGTATACAATTCCAACAACAGCTATTGTTCCGCAGGAGCTGAGATGAACAATGTGAAGTTCCAAATGGTACCTGCAAAAGAATTAGGTTGAAGTAGGCATCAAGCTAGGAACAAAATTTCCTTTTGTTTCTATCAAAACAGCTGAAACATTTCCATATCCTAAGAGATTGGAACGAAATACTAATGGAAAAACGAATTTCCCACCAAATGATAGAACATTGAGAAACACATCAAAACAAAACAAAACATAGCCAAACAATAAATTGTTGACACGAATTATTTAACAAAACTAGTTTATTTGACAATACTTATCAATTTTTAGTTCATAGCAACATTTACTTTTTGACTATACATTTGTTCCTTTATGCGAATCAATAATTCTAAATATCTTTAATTGATCAATTATTAGGATTACATTCATTTAGGTAAGTTTTAGCATTTGTTTCTACACATTTTCATGTATTTTCAAATTATTTTGGTTTCTTTCGAAATGTTTTCAAAGCACTTTCATTTATGTGCTAGCCAAAACAAACAACACACTAATGAAATTTTGATCCTTGGCAGTAAGTAATAACACCATTGAATCGGCAAAAGTTGGATTAGATGGGCAAGTTCTATGTCAAAATACAAAACCAAACATATTGTAGAGAGGAAAGAAAAGAAAAGAAAAGAACAGAAAACAAAACAAAAGAAAAAGAACAAATATGAAACCTTGTTCCATTGAAGGTGTGCTCAGAGGGAGAGTGCCAATGACACTGTAGCAGTTTGTAGCGAGTCCCATTTATGTTAATTTTTCCTGCATCTCCTTTCCATTCCACCTGAAACAACAGAACACTAATTCATCAGATAACTTGAAGACAAGAAGAGAATAAAATTCGCATTTTTATGGCCGACAAGGATTTTTTTAATAGTGACCCTAGTTGTTGCATTTCTGCTTTTGTTTGATGGGGCTATGAGTTTTCTCAATAACAACATCAAATGATTATGTACCACCATGACACACTGCATGCATCAAAATCAAAGTATACCCAAGGGTCACAAATACAACTTAAGCACATGCATTGACTGGGTTGGAATATTAATATGCATTGGTCTTTTTCAAGTATCATTCATATACATAAGAAACAAAAATAATAATAAAAATGAGAAAGATAGGTTACTTAAGAGCATGTGATAGCTTACAGCAATATCATGTCCCCTATTCTTAAGAGTGGCAGGAGCTGGCTTGTAATCCTTTTTCAATTTCCCCAAATTAGGAAAAACTTTCACTCTTTGGTCAACAACATCAATGGGAGATTGCAATTTTCCATTGCCACAACTTTTCCAATGTGGATTAACCTTGCCCCATTTTCTTGGTCCTTTTCCAGTTCCCTCCACATAGGTGAAAGGTGTTTCATCCTCTGTTCATTCATCACACAATAATTAAATACAAGTTTCAATAACAAAAAAACCATTAAATAATAAAAAATACACAAAAAAATAAAAAATAACTCATCACTTTTAGGCTGGCATCCAAGAACAAACCAGATTCAAATATGAATGTTTAAAAAACTACTAATGTACATATAAGTCACAAAAGAACTCAGAGAATTTATTCTTTTCTTTCTTTTCAAGTGTAAAGTACAAATAAAACAAGTCAGCTGACCATGGATGAAAAAGTAGTTTAAAATAACCTAAACAATAAGAAAGCATAGCTGGGAAAAAAAATTTGAGGAGCATTATTATATGATTTAATTAGAGTTCGAATCAAGTAACCTAGTTCAGATATGATTTAATTCAAAAACCAATAGATGGGAAAAAAAATTTGTATTGAAACTTAGGAAAAGATTAAAGCTCTTGCTTTATCTATGTTTGTCTATGCATAAAGAGAAAAACTCAGAAAGAGGGAAAGAATAAAACATAATTGAACTATTTATAGATTTGCTTTTTATGACACTTTTCCATAAATAAAGAAATCAATAAACTTTTTGTTGAATCAACTTTGAATATTGCAGGGTGACCAAAGGTTAAGATGCGAATGGAGTTCACTACATAAATCAATAAGAAAGCATAGCTTAATTAGTACGATAAGAAAGGCAATCCAGTGCATGAAGCTCCGGCTAAAGCGAGATTTGAGGAGCATCAATCAGTTAATTGTATACCAGTAAAGAACAAAACTAGAGTTTGGTAAAATTCTTATGCATATAGCATTTAGGTTACTAATGGTATTGTTTTGTTTTTTGTCTAATGGTTTAATAGACAGTAATAAGCATTTCCCAAAATGAGGTTAAATCAAAAAGACAATATTCAGAAATGGGATTTAGGATCTCATGAACATATTTCCTTGTTCTTGTTGGGCCGATATGAATAATTTTAATGTTGTGTTTGGATTTTAGATTTGTCAAGTAAAAATAAAAGGAAAGGGGAAAGATAGGGAAATAAAATGAAGTGAAAGAAATATTTTTTCTTCCCTTTATAGGTTGGGTTGGGAAAATAAGAAGGGAAAAAAAAAGAAAAAAAGAGGTAGTAAAACTTCAGAATTCTATGACAATACTGCATTTATGATTGTGGTTTTGGCACACCCCATGCTGAAAACTGAGTAATTATATACATGAATAAATTTTATATATTATATTTTTTTTTATGTGATTTTCTCTCACCACTAGTCACAAAGTATTAATAACTATTCATGTAACCAGCTATAACAAAGAAATAATAATTATTTTATAAAAAAATCTGTTTATGTACAGCATTTTGAGTGTTTTTGAAACCGTATTTTTAAAATGTGATCATATTGAAACATTTTTAAAACATAATTTCGACACAACCATAAGATGATATTTTGGAGATGTGATTTCAAAATAAGATTTCAACATGGCTGGCAGCCTTAAATGTCACCATAAAAGCGCATTTTGAATATGAGATTTCATCATGAAATTGCATTTTGAGAATGTGATTTTAAAAGGTGGGTTATAGTTTGCTAAATAATTAGAAAAGTGTGTTATTTTCAAAAATAGTTTTATTTTTTGAAATATTTAGAGCGAGAATAAAAAAATAAAAAAAACTCCAGCATTTTTCACCTCAGATAAAAAAATTTAAAATGAGAGAAAAAACTGATAAGAGTAAAGTAAACAAGAGATCAATTTCAAGAACATAAAATAAAAACATGAAATCAAAATTGGGTGCATAGAAAAGAACAAACACAATATATTGTTCAATGAAGAAAGAATGGTTCATCAAACTTATAAGACAAGATTTTAGTGCAGTATGAAATAATATACATCAACAACACTACAAACCCAGACAGAAATTACCCAAATAAAGTGGTTTAAATTCATTTTACTCATCACCTTCATCAATTTAATATACACCACACAAACACATCCAGATAAATTAATGCTATGTTTGGTTAGGAGATTTTGAGAGGGAAATGGAAAAGTTGTGTAAAACTATGTAAAATATAGGCACATTTTACCTACCTTTTCCATTTCCCTTTCCAAATCCCTTCCAACTCCCCCAACCAAACACAGCATAAGGGTTGATAAAGGTGGTTCATAACATTTTTGTATATACATATACCCAGATAGATACATATATAATAGAGAGAGAGAGAGAGAGAGATTACCAACTTCAGATTCAAAAGCATTGCAGATGGAGAAGAGGGAATGGGATGATAGAATGAAAAAAATGAAGAAGAAAGAGAATATGAGACGTGGGCTGTTGTTGATGATGGTGGTGGTGGTGGTGAAGAAGCCCATTGTTGCTCTGTCTTTTGGTATTCACAACACAAGGTTGGTTAGGTACTACTTCAATAGCTGGCTGGAGTACTGGTTATTTATATATGACAATGGCGAATGTTTAGGAGCTACACAAGAATTTTTGGACTTTTCCCAAATTTCTATCTTAATTTTCAAATTAAGTCTAATTTGGACGGATTTCTTAAACTAGGCTAAAGCGTTATTACAAATCGCGCTTTCACTATTTGAAGCAGAAAATTTGATGAATAGTAAAAACGCTATTACAAAAAGTGCTTTTAATTAAGAAAACGCTATTACAAAAAGCGTTTTCACTGTGCATATGAAAACACACTATTACAAAAAGCACTTTCACTATGCATATCCTTCAAAAAAACGTTTAAAATATATTAAAATGTAATCAAACTTAATCTTGAGTTCTCTACAGCTGAAATGGTAATGCATTGGTTTTGTCACACTTTTGCACAGTTCAAATCACAACCACACCAACTTCAAACCAATTGCTATTTAAAATGAAATTCAACTTTTTTTTTCTCCTTCCACTCACTCTATATTTTATATATTTATTATGTAATTTTTTTATCAAAAAAAAAAATTTTGTTTGGTTAAATATTTTAAAAAATTAAAAATAAACAATTTATTTATTTTTAAAGAATTATATAAAGTAGTATACTATTTATACTATCATCATATCACACGTATAAATAGTATACTCACTTAGACGTATTATACTATCATCACATCGCACGTATACTACTTTTTATATTTTTAATAAATTGTTTATTTTTATTATTACCCATTACTTTTAAAATATGTTTATTTTTAAAATATTTTAAAAAATTGAAAAATGTACGCTTTTAAAATATTTTAGTTCATTTTAAAAGAGCACATTTGGCTGAAAAAATATTTTTTGAGTACGCTTTCACTGTACATATTTTTTTGAGTACATTTTTCTGTAAAAATTAATATTTTGCTGAAAAAATGCTAAAAACACAAATATTTTTTCAGTACATTTTTTTGTATTTTTATGTATTTATTAATTTTTTAAAATATTTTTTCACATTTTTTTTATTTTTTAAATACATCTAACTAAGGTGCATCTAAAAAAGTAAAAAAAAAATGTTTAAAATTTTAAAAATATTCACTAAAAACAAAAAAATACGAAAATCAAAAAACTCAGTTTTCAAATAACTAAATTCAAAAAACTCAAACCAAATACACTGAATACTTTTTAAACAATTATGTTGACATTTTGAAAAAAATTGTATTTTATAGAAAAATTGTTTAGTTATTGTATTTTATTTATTTATAGAAAAAATTTTATTTTATTTATTTAAATTGTTTATTTAATTTTTTAAATAAATAAATTGTACATTTTAAAAAAATATGCATAGTGAAAACGTACTCAAAAATTTTTTTTTCAGCAAAATGTACGCTTTTAAAATGTACTAAAATATTTTACAAGCGTACATTTTTCAATTTTTTAAAATATTTTAAAAATAAACATATTTTAAAAGTAATGGGTAATAATAAAAATAAACAATTTATTAAAAATATAAAAAGTAGTATACGTGCGATGTGATGATAGTATAATACGTCTAAGTGAGTATACTATTTATACGTGTGATGTGATGATAGTATAAATAGTATACTACTTTATATAATTCTTTAAAAATAAATAAATTGTTTATTTAATTTTTTAAATAAATAAATTGTACATTTATTTTTTTTTGATAAAAAAATTACATAATAAATATATAAAATATAGAGTGAGTGGAAGGAGAAAAAAAAAGTTGAATTTCATTTTAAATAGCAATTGTTTGGAGTTGGTGTGCATGTGGTTTGAACCTGTGCAGAGATGTGGCAAAACCAATGCACTACCATTTGAGCTGCAAAGAACTCAAAATTTATTTTGATTACATTTTAATATATTTTAAACGTTTTCTGAAGGGGAGACATATGCACAATGAAAGCGCTTTTTGTAATAGCGTTTTTTTCATATGCACAGTGAAAACGCTTTTTGTAATAGCATTTTCTTAATTAAAAGCGCTTTTTGTAATAGCGCTTTCACTATTCATCAAATTTTCTGCTTCAAACAGTGAAAGCGCGATTTGTAATAGCGCTTTAGCCTAGTTTGGGAAATCCGTCCAAACTAAGCCTAATTTGAGAATTAAGATAGAAATTTGGCTTAATATAGGAAAAGACTCCGAGATAGACTCTAAAAAATAATATAAATAAATAAACTATAAGTAAATCAGATATGCTATACCAAAAAACCCAAATAGCGAGATCTTTGCTACAATTTCTTTTAACTCATTCATTTTTCCCCCCCCCCCCCCAAAAAAAAAAAAAACTTACAAAAAAAGAACAAACACTCGAGTAATCCAAGCCCAAAGAAAAAAATTACATGAGCTTTTTTTCTTAATAATATGTTTTTTTTTAAAAAATTTATGGAACAATTTTTATTTTATAATCCTTTCATTTAATAATTGTAAATATTTTTTATTTAGTTAGTTTAGGTATTGGTAAAAAATAATTTATAGACATTTAAAATCAATTATTCTTAAAATCATTAACTAATAAAATAAAATATAAAAAGTTTCTTTTATAGTGATTTGAAAATATGAAATATATTGGGTCATACTTAAAAATTAAAAAAAAAAAATTGATCAAAATGTATTTTAAATCTCAATAAATGTGATTTTGGAAGAAAAAAAAATTAAAAAATACGTATTGGTAAGTTTTCTTCAAATCGTGTGAAAAAAATAAATAAATAAATAAATATCACAGTTCCGGTTACCGCAACTGTCAACTGTTACACTACAGCCTTTACACCCCACAATCGCTACCGCATCACTGCAATCATTACGGCGACCGCAATCGCTTTTCAAAACCTTGATTGTGACAAATCCACAACTGAAGGTATTGGTGTATTCTTAAACAGTTCTGCACTTCAAACTATGAACTTTTCAGTTTTCTGCATATTTCAACGTTGTTTTGTATTTACCGATATTTCTCTATAATTAAAAATGATAATAAGAGGAATAGACAAACAATTACTTTTGCATCCCATGCATATTTGACACAGTAGAATAAATCTTTCTCTAGATCTACCTTGATTCCCAGAAAATAAAGAGCAGAAATTCATTGACCATTGTTGGACTAAATTTCATGATCTTGTTATCTATTCTATTCCTTATTTTTATGAACTTGAGTTTGTACCCAAATGGGGTTATTCAATGTAATCTCTTTATCTTTAATACAAACAAAGTTCTTTTGCACTCGCCGTTGCTCGACTTTGCTTCCTTTTATATTTTGAAACTAATTTAGAGCTTCGAATTGGACAACTTCCTCCTTCGAATTATATACCAATCATGTCTTTTTCCAATTCATGGAGTAAAATTGACAATTCTGGCAGATATTATCTTAGTGCTTTGATTTCAACAACTTTACTCTTCAACACTAACTGTAACCAATATATGGTCATGGTTGATATAATCAATCAATTTCAAATTGACCATTTTTTCTTTCGAAGAGTAATATGTACAAAAAACCAACAATTGGTTTTGATGCTTCTAACAGTGTTTCTCATACTCAGAGAATACTAGGGTTTGCTTCGAAGGTCGTTACTTTGATTCATAATCCCTAAACAGGTCTTTAAACCCTTCGAAATAGACCAATAATCAAGCAATTTAGCACCTTTAAGCATATAATAGGCTTCGAAGCCGGCTCATGTATTTCGAAGCCGTTGTTATTTAATTTTTTGGCGCCAACATCTTGTCTTCGAAGCCAAATATTTCATTTTGAAGTTGGCCCCAATCCCGGAATAAGCTCTTCCCTCCAAAACTATCAATATTGGAAGAGATTCCTCGCATTCGTACTTTTAGTACTTAACGACTTACGGGGTACAATTTCAGACACCAAGGTTTTAAAACCCTCTCATTTCGTGTTCCGAAATCTCTTGCTTTTTACAAACCCTTCTCTCTACTGGTTCCTCTTTGCTTCGGTTTTCATCTTCTGAAGAGTGTATCATCAATGGCTTCTTCTTCACCAAAAGTGCCAGCCCCAGAGCGCGTAGGCTCATCTTTAGCTTTGAAGAGGCTTATTGACGCAGAATGTGAGAAGTACAAGGCTGGAGAGAAAAGCGCTATCGATGGGCGTATCTTCGTCCCTCGTCATCATGAGCAGCAGAACTACGTGCTCGGACCAATTTTCAAGGAAGTCCTTACTGAGCTCCCAACCTTTTATCCGCGTCTGGTGGACCAACGTCTCCTTTATGAAGATGGCCTTGACTGGAAGAACTGGAGAAGCAATCGTCCTCATCGATGCTGGCCCACGATAAGACCGGAATGGCAAGAATGGTATGATCGGATCATTCTTGCTAAGACACTGGACCTCCAAGAGCTCTGCCTCCTCGATGCTCTTCGACTATCTAGGGTAACTATCCCGGAGGACCCTTTCCTAGTTCCTACTGCTTTGTGCTTTTGGAACCCCGTCTTCAATTTCTTTCAATTTAGATGTAGGATGATGGCCCCCACTGTTCTTGATATTTGCCATCTATTAGGAGTATCCTCCATTGGTACCCCCATCACACCAGATTTTCCTGACTTAGCAGTCCCTTTCTCCCTCCCCTCTCTTAATTCATCTTACAGTGATTTTGTTAGAGCCGAGAACAAAAGAGTGGGTCCAGTAACTGATAGGGAATTCTTTTCCTTTTTATTATATTCGCTTTGCAAATTTCTTTTCTGCACCTCCTCCCAAAGAATCATGCCTGAATTTGCTCCTCTTGCCAAAGCCTTGGTTTTGCAGAAAAGAGTAGCCTTAGCCCCATACATTCTGGGTCATGTATATAGAGTTTGTTCCCTCTTTTGTGAGAAACCCTTAGATGCTAATCAAGGGGGACCATTTTGGATCCTTCAGCTTTGGCTCTTTGCCTATTTTACTGAACTACAATCCAAATGCCTTAAATTTTCTGGGCTACACTCTCTTACTCATGGCATAAAACTAGTCAATGCTTCACTTTATCCAGCTATTTTTGCCTTTTATTTCTCCTTCTTTCATCAACTACCAGCTGCTCTTCCTGATCACCGTTTCCGTCCCTTCGAAGCTAGCATAG